GTATGACCCTAGAAGCTCTAGTATTATCTGTGGCTTTTCTAGTGTTCTTTAGTTCTCCCTTAACGTGTTTATTCATGGGTAGTACAGACTGGTTACAATAGTTGTTTCCCCAGAAGGAAAGAAAAGGTACACCTAGAGAGAAATAGCTAGAATTTGGGATGCCCTGAAAGGGGAAAAAAAAATAAAAGAGAATTGTACCAACTTCTGCATGTACCTTCATTTGGCCCATTCATGATTTTCATGATTTGTATATTCAAGTGCCTATGGACTATTTTCCCTAGATTGGCATACTCCTAAGAGGCATCACCTCTCTTTCTCTTTCTGAATCTTTCTCTCTAGCCTAACCACTGAGGAACACTTAGAATCTCTTTGTAGTTTAGAGGAAAGTCTGATTGGTTGGGAATATCAAATATTTATCTCTTGTAACTAAGATGGAGATCTGGTTGCTGATAATGCAAGCTGACCATATGTATCTTTGAATCCTTTTATGTTTATTACAGACTGTAGGAGATAAACTGAGTGTTAGACTTTCCAAGTTCCTTGAAATCCAGAATTAGACCCAAAGACAGGGGGAGAGAGAGATACCATGTATCAGGCCGGGCTGCAAGTTTTTTGAGGTCTCAGTGACAGGAAACATGGAAGGATTTGGGCAGTGATGGTCTGTGTTGCTAAGGCGGTGACAAATATATAGGAGTATAGATGTGGAGTTGAAAGGCTTACTCCATCCCCAACATCCTCATGTAGAAGTCCCTTAATCAATATTAGTGGAATGAGTAATTGCATGATGTAAATTTGATAGCTGGTTCTCTTCAGAGAATGAAGTTTACATCTACTTAGCAAAATACTTTTGATTATGCAATATGAAAATTTAATTATATTAAGTGAAGTAGGTAGTATAGTGAATAGAGCACTAGTCCTAGAGTCAGGAATACCTGAGTTCAAATTCCACCTAGGATACTATGTGGATCTGGGAAAATTACTTAACCTCTGTCTGGTTTCAGTTTTCTCAATAGTAAAACGCAGATCATAATAGCACTTACCTAGTAGGGTTGTTGTGTGGATCAAATGAAATAATATTTGTAAAGTACTTAGTACAGTGCCTGGTGAATAGTAGGTATTTTAAAACTGCTTTTTCCTTCCTGTCTTAATATAATACCCCCTCCCAAAAAAATTCCAGTACAATTCAGTGGAATTCAATAGACATTTGTTAAGCATCTGCCCAAGAAATGATCATCAACCGGAATTCGATTTATGAAAAGCTTCCTGATAATTACCTTTCAAGTGTAGTATATAAATGTCCTCAATACTCTTATCTTATGTGTGAAAGTGAAAGAGAGATGACTGCATTTAATATTTCTACCTACCTTATTTTTTTCTCTCATCCATTAACTTTCAGAGTTCTGAAACATGTGATCTACATCTGCTAGGGGAAAGGAAAGGAAAGAAGCATTTATTATGTGCCTACTACATGCCAAGCACTGTGCTAAGTGCTTTACAAATAGTATATCATTTCTCTCCATCTACTTCCTTTTCCCATTGAGGTCTGGCTTTGATCCCAACCAATGTTTCTGAAAGATTACCAGATAGAGTTCTTAAAAAAAAATCCTTATCCTATCTCTCCTGAAACTTTCATCTTTCAGCTTTGTGATCCTATACTGATTTAGTTTTCCTTCTATATTCTTAGCTACTCGTCCTTGAAGTACTCCACTCCATTATCAAATTCCCCTTGTCCATTCTCTAGGCATTCACCAATGCTCAGTTTTTAACTATCTGCTCTTTGCTGACTTATCTCTACTTATAACCTCACACTGGAGCTCAATATTGTCCAGTGCCTCCTGGAAGTTTCTATTCTGATATTTCACCAGTTTCCCTTTAACTGATGTAGTATTATAGTGTTTTATCTAGAAATTGTACAAAGTGTCTTAGACAAGTGGAGATATGTAAGTCTAAAGAGTTGTATAGTTTGGTAGGTTCAGAACTAGTTGAATGATTGCACTGAAGGATTGATAATAGATTATTGACTTTCTGGAGTAGCCTTAGGGATTTGTCCTTTTCTTATGTGTGTGTGTGTGTGTGTGTGTGTGTGTGTGTGTGTTTTATATCAGTGATGTGGATGAACTATAGATAGGACAAATATCAAATCTGTGGAGGAGGGAGAAGTGAGAGGGATATGGGATAAAGGATGGTAAACTTGGGATTCAATATATCTTGACAGGCTAGCATCTAAGAAGATATGTTTTAATAGGGATAAATGTAAAGTCCTACTTTGGGTTGAAAAACCAGCTGGACACATATAGAATAGGGGAGGTATGGCCAGACAGCAATTCATATAAAGATCTTAGTGATTTAATGGACCATGAACTCAGTATGAGTCAACAGTGTGAAAAGTGCCTTAAAAAGGGGAGGGGAAATGTAATTTTGTGTTTCATTAATAGAATGTCTAGAAGAAGGGAAGTTATAACATGTTATATTCTGGGTTAGACCACATGAAGAGAAATGTGCATGGAAGCATTTTTATTGCCCTGAAAGGAAAGAGCCTGGTCAGCCAAAGTATTAGTTTCAATTTTATTTTTAAACTAGCAGTTTGACATTTTCATTTTATTTAATCTGGTAACTGTAGTCGAATATCACTCTTCTAATTACCTAGCTCAGTAAAGAGATACAGTGTGGTATAGGGTGTTGTAGGAAGCAGAATAAATAGAACCAGACACTTAATTTGTAATCAGAGTACCTTGGTTGAATCCTGACTTTGTCACCTATTACTTGTGTGATCTTGGGCAAGTCATTTTACTTTTAGGAGTTTCAATTTCCTCAGCTATAAATAATGAGGGGCTTGAACTAAATGACTTTTAAAATCCCTTTCAGTCCAAGATTTTATGATTCTAAGAGACTGTGTTACCTGTGAAAGCCTGCCTTATAGTATATGGAAACTTTATGCTAAGGATTTGGACAGGAGGAACTCACATAGTTTATAATCAGGTGAAAGACAAATGCTGTAAATGATTTCTCTCTTCTTTGGGCTTCTGGAGTACTTTATAACTCTCTTATGAACTTCTATGCTAGACCCTTTTGTGTGTGTGCATATTCTCAAAGACCTTCATATACTATATATGTATATGTACGTGTGTATGTATGGAGCATTTGAGTAGCACAGTGGATAGAGCACTGGGCCTAGAGTCAGGAAGACTCATTTTCCAAAGTTTAAATCTGGCCTCAGACACTTACTAACTGTGTAACCTTGAGCAAGTTTCTTAATCTTGTTTGCCTCAGTTTCCTCATCTATAAAATAAGCTGGAGAAGGAAATGGTAAACCACTCCAAGAAAATCCCAAATCCAGTCACAAAGAGTTGGACATAACTAAAATGACTGAACAACAAAATAACATGTGTACAAACACATAAATACACACATGTACATCACATGCATATTATATACAAACATGTATAGATACACACACACTGTCCTAATATAAACACCTTGAGAGGCAGGATAATCCCTTTCAACACTTTGCACAGTGTTTCACCTAGAGTGGGTGAATGAATGAAAAAACAGACAAACAAACAAATTTATTGTTTAATATGTCCTTGGTACTGTGCTGAGCTCTGGGGATACAAATGTGATAGTGTCACAGGGATTGATTTTGAGCTGATGAATGGGAGACAGAGTTGTGTAGTGGAAAGAGAACTGACCAGAATCAAGGCATGGGTTCAAATCCTGCCACAGGCAATTGTTTCCTTATGACCTTAGGAAAGTTACTTAATGTCTTAGGCCTTCAGTTTTCTTATCTACAAAATGAAGGGCTTGGTTAGATGACCTTTGCGATCCCTCCCAATTCTAGATCTGTATTCCTGTGAACATATCTCAGAATCTGTTTCTTCACATATAAAACAAGAGTCATGTGCTAGATGACCTCTAAAGTTGACCTTCTAGTTCTAGATTGATAGATGACAGATAGATAATAGCTATATGATAGATAGAGCAACTAATTGACACATTCACTACAGGAACAGTGATAGTATTAATTTGATCATTATGACCAGAACAAGAAGTAAAAAAAAGGGAGGGGGGCTGGAGGATGGGATTATGTGTTAAGTAGCACAGTGGATGGCAAGATGGCCAAGGTAGACAGTTGTATGGGACATTGTCACATGGTCCAGTGGTCTGTTCTAAGGTACGGGGACTGATTAAATGAGAATATACTTAGATGCTTATCGATCAAGGTAGCTCAATCCTGAGATGGTTTGTTCCATAACTCTCTTAGGGACTAGTGAAGGACAGAGGAATGAGGGGAAAGGGAAGTATTTGATGTTTTCCAATGCTAAGTAAATATTAACAAAACAAAATAAAATAAATGTTTGAATGCACAAATGAATTAATGAAGAATAGGAGTACCCTTTGGCCTTCCTTAGATCTTTTCTCTTCTTTTTCCTTGAGGAAGCCACTTCATTTAGCAAATTACAAATAAAACATCATCAGCCCCAGAAGTTTGAAGTGCAAAGGTATATGGAGGCTGTTATTATGGCCATGGGTAGAGAACCTAGAAAGTCTTTAAAACAGTCGATTTGCCTGTCGTGGATGACAACATAGAGCAACCTATGACAGCACAGTTTGTAAGCTCAGCAGAGAGAATGAAGATTTGAAACAAAAGGAGATAGGCCTCTCAGAGGAGGCCCTGCTGCTCACTCCCTGTGTTGTCAGAAAAAACCCTCTTAAGCATGGATCTTTCACTTTTACGTGAAAGCCAAACTAAAACAAAAAAACAAAAACAAAATAAATTAAAAAAGAATCAAGACAAGAAGACTGTGGTTGAATACTCTTGGTGAACTGGGAATCCATAGTAACTTCCCAAGCAGATGGAGATGAAGTAATCCATTTGGAATGTAATGGTGTGTTTTCAATTGTGTCACAAAGTACAGTTCAGCTTTGTCACTGAATATAAGGAATAGAACCATTTTCCTTCCATCAATAATAATTTTTTTTCTCTGTCTCCTTTCTTTCAGAGAAAGAATGTGCCTCTTTTCCTCAGTGTCGGTTTGCTAACTTTTTGGGGAACCTCACTTCTGGGAGCCCGCCTATACTGGATGGGGAACAAGCCACCAAGCTTCTCCAATTCAGATAACCCTGCAGCTGATTCAGACAGCATCACGGCACGCACTTTGACCTTCCTTTACTTGCCAACCAAGAACCTCTGGTTGTTGTTATGCCCAGATACTCTCAGCTTTGATTGGTCCATGGATGCGGTACCGTTGATAAAAACCATCTGTGACTGGAGAAACCTCCACACTGTGGCCTTCTATACTGGACTCTTTCTCCTCTCCTACTTCAGCCTGAGGACCCCAAGCTCCAACAGACAGTGCAATGGGAAAGCCGTCGCCAATGGCAAGCAGAATGCGAATGGGCATGGCTGCCACCCAGACGCAGAGTACCGGGAGTCAGAGCCTAAGCCCAGCTTTGCAGAGAAAGCCGAGAATGGCATTAAAAACCACATCCCCCAGCGGTCACCGCTTCCTTCCACAGAGAACATTGTTGTTCTTTCGCTCTCTTTGCTAATAGTTCCCTTCGTCCCAGCCACCAATCTGTTTTTCTATGTCGGCTTTGTAATCGCAGAGCGTGTGCTGTATATTCCTAGTATGGGCTTCTGCCTTTTAATTACAGTAGGTGCCAGAGCCCTTTACGTCAAAGCCCAAAAGCGCTTTCTCAAGAGTTTGATTTTCTACGCCACAGGTGCACTAATTGTTTTTTATGGACTCAAGACTGCCATCAGGAATGGAGACTGGCAGAACGAGGAGATGCTGTATAGGTCAGGGATAAAAGTCAACCCAGCCAAAGGTAATCTTTTATGCATTCATTCATTCATTCATTCATTCATTAATCCATCCATCCATTCATACAGTTAAAAATTTGGTTAGTCTGTCTGCCCATGACTATCTTTGTTACATTTAAGTGAAAAGAAGAAACCACAAAATGTTTAGCCTTCATTTTGCACCCTATATACAAGACCGTAAACCAGATTGATAGAACCATTCCATGTTTTTATAATTGAAATATGGAGCCGTTTCCCCATGGGCCTGAATAAGCTTGCTCAAAGTGATTGAGACTTCTACAGATTTGGAGAGCATTTTTGGTATCTTAATTCAATACAGGAAATGAGACTGAGTGGTTGGTATTGTCTCTTGAGTCAAAGCACTTGGATTTGAAACTTTTTGCCTCTGTGACTTTGACCAAGTACCTTGTTCACCATTTTTTCATTTATAGAACGAGTGGGTTGAACCAGCTGGCCTCCGGAATCCCTCCCAGCTCTCGATCCTTGATCTCACAAACATCTCTTAGCCATAGTTTTGTTAATATGCCTGGCACGTAGTAGGAACTTAATAAATGTTTATTGATTGATTGGTATAGTCTAGACATCCTTGGATATTTCTTCTGGCTCTAGACCTATAATTGTAATCTTAGAAAGATTCTTTTTTTTGTCACATACTAAAAATTAGGTTACCCCACTTACATTCACTATAGTGCTAATATTTTTCAAGTATTATTTGAGGTGTTAACTATAAGACACACATTAAAGTCTTTAGAATTGAATCTAAAATTGGCCCTGGTTCTTCGAAATTGTGTCTCCAGGTATCAGTGTGCCCATGTGACAGAGATTAGTCTCCAGTGGTTTTCTACCAGACAAAATAATTAAGGTGTTACCAAATTCTTTTCAAATTGCTCTTATTTAAGCATTTCTAATTGCTTTGGGGAGATGACTCACTTATCATGTAGCAAAAGGGCTGTTATATGTTTGAACTTCTTCCTAATTCAGAAAAGGAAATCAGCTCATCTTGGCATCCATTGCCAGAGCAAAAAAAAAAAATAATAATAATAAATAAAAGCCTTTGGATTTGAGGTGTTTTAGAATTATCAGCATCTGCTACTATGGGCAACTGTTGTGTTGGGAATTAAATGATGAATGAGAATAGGAAGCAATAGAGTGAGAATAACTATGTTTCCAGTGTAGAATGGCTTACTAAATTAGGCCAAAGGTTCTTATTCTGCATGAGCCTTTTGTTTTTAAAATCTTAAATCAGTTTTACATGCATTTCTGCTTCGTGATTTTGGTTGTTAGGAATTTGATGTTGCGTGTGTATTTGGGAAACATAAGTATTATCTTTGATAATGATTTCATCTATTTTTTCCTTTTGTGATGATTTTCATCACATTTTCCCAAGTCAGTCTTGTATGGTGGAAAGACTGCTGGACTTGAAATGACAAGAAATTGGTTCAGATTTTGACACAGACTGGCTGTGTGACCTTGGGAAAGTCATTTAACATTTTGGAGCCTTTCATTTCCTTGTCTCATCTGTGAACTGGGAGTAATAATATTCATATTACCTGCCTCTGGCAGCTATGTGGCACAATGGATAAAGTGCTGGTCTGAAGTCAATAAGACTCATCTTCCTGAGTTCAAATCCTGCCTCAGACACTTACTAGCTGTGTGACTCTGGGCAAATCACTTAACCCAGTTTGCCCCAGTTTCCTCTTCTGTAAAATGAGCTGGAGAAGAAAATGGCAAACCACTCCAGTATCTCTGTCAAGAAAACCCCAAATGGGGTCTTGAAGAGTAGGACACGACTGAAAATGACTAAACAACACTACCTGTCTCGTAGAGTTTTTGAGGTGTGTGTGTGTGTATGTATGTATGCATGTGGTACATATGTATATGTATGAGGGGGAGGGGAAGCATGGAGTACTTTGTAAAAATTCAAGTTCTGTATTGTGTATTTCAAAAATCTTAGTTCAATTTTAAGCTTTAGTAGCCTAAAACTATATTACTAAGGCCTTTGGGATGCCCTGTATGTAACTGTGAATTTTCGTGATCGTTCTTACTGGAAAGAGGCAGTATGGTGTAGTGGTTAGAAAACTGGCCTCTGGGCAACAAAGATCTGAGTTTAAGGCCCTTCTCTAACAGCTACTGGCTCGGTGAGACTGGTCAAATCACTCTACCACTCAGTTCCTCCAGGAATCTTTCTAAAACTCTAAGTCAGAGTAGGTGATAGTTCTGCATTAGCTAATACTGAGAGCTCCCTATGCCGATGGAATCACAACCATGGATCCTGAAGAAGAAAAAAATACTCAGATAAATCTGCCAGCACATAAATATTTGAGGACTTAATTTGTGCAGGGAGCCATGCTTACACTGGAGTATTTAGTTCATGGCCATATTGCTTTACCCAATTGATAGAACAAGTACAATGGGGACAGCTCCTCATTCTCAACTGGCCAACAAACCCATGAGACGCCCCAGGGAAAATCGACCTTGGCAGGTTCAGTCAGCAAACATAAATGTTTTCTTAAGCAGAGTTCTAATTGCCTACACTCCAATAGAGTTGATTAAAGAAAAATAGATAGCAGGAATTCCAAAGGAGAGCCCAGGCACTTAAAAGGGGCCAGTGTTTACTATTATTGAGCACTGTCTGAAAAAAAAATCATCTTCCTGTGGCTTTTCTCATTAGTGAGTTCTGCCCAGGTTATTGATCATCTGAACTCAAACCCTGCTACTAAAAGAAATCATTGAGTTTGCATGGAATGTGATACCTTTGAAAATGGCCCGTGAGTATGTCTAGTAAGGGCCTTCCCTGGACTTAGAAGCTACTTTTCTGTAATTCATTTGGCAGATAATGAGATACTTTCCAACTTTCAGATTTCATGCCGCTGTGATGTACTCAAGGAAACTGAAAAAAAAAAAAAAACAAAAAAAAAACAAAAGTCAATCTGTGAATTAGATTACACTTCTTGGGTCCCTGGATAATGATGATACTGTGAGTAATTTTGCCTAATTATGTTGAACATGCCCCAGTTATGTACACATGTTATGTAAATGAAATCTTACAACCTTATTTCACTCTTTGCTACTTTCCTCTGCTGAATTTTTCGCCATATTTATTCATCCGGCCAATAGGATGAATAAAACACTCCCCACCCCCTACGCACCAGAATACTTTGGTGTGATGAAAAGAATACAGATAAAAGAACCAGAGTCAAAGGACCTTGGTTGGAATCTGAGATCTGCTACTTTCTAGCTAAGTGACATTGTGCAAGTCATTTCTGTTCCACTGGGCTCTTTTCCTTTATCTCTAAAATAAAAGAGATTAAAATATCTTCCAGTTTCAAACACTTATGACTCTGACTTTCATCCACTGTACTAGTGGTTTATTTATCTTTTATATAATATATAATTATATATTATAATTATTTAATTAATAATTAATGAATAAATGTCATTAGTGTATATTTGTATATTTATATATGTAAACACACATATCTGTATGCATGTATATATATACATATACATAATATGTGTATGTATATATGTGTGTGTGTGTGTGCTAACATTTATATAGCTCTCATTGTGTGCCAAGCACTGTGCTAAGTGCTTTGCAATTATTATATCATTTAATTCTCAAAACAACATTGGGGAGTAGGTGCAATTATTATCTCCATTTTACAAATGAGGAAATGAACAGAGACGTTAAGTGTCTTTCCCAGGGGTATAGATAGTAAGTGTCTGAAGGCAGATTTGAATTCACATCTTTGGAAGTCCTGGCTTAGCATATTAGCCATTATACCACCTAGCCCTGCACCCCTCAATTTCTCTCTCTCTCTCCTTCCCTCCCTTGCTCTCTCTCCTCCTCCTCCTCCTCCTTTTTCTTTCTCTCTTCACACATAAGCCTGTATGTATGTATTTATGCATATATATGTGTGTGTGTGTGTGTGTGTGTATATATATATGTATATGTTTGTATGTACCTATAATGTCACCTAGCTATTAAGTAGCAGAGCTGAGATTCACACCAAGGTCTTTTGACACTGGTTCTTTTTATTAGTGTTCTTTTTATCACGCCAGAGTATTCTAGTGGGGGGATGCTTTATTCACCCTATATATACATACATATATATGTACACACATATATATACAGGCAGATGCAATCAGGTAATGATTGACCATTGCCACTTTGACCCAGGAATTCCAAAGGAGATCAAACTTATGTATCATGGCATCCTAAGAAAAGGCAGAAAACATACTCCCTTCTATGGCGATATTTAAGATCTAATTAGAGAATGACTTACACTGGAGAATAAATTGAAGGAAACACATAGCATAGATGACTTGTGTGTAACTCTATAACTCTCCATGCCTAAGATATTTAAAAGTGAGTACCTGCATAGATGCTGGGGATGCCTTGTACACATTCCAGTGGAAAGGCCTCATTTTGAATTCAACATCCATCTTCCGTAATATGAACTTGATTTTGATATGAGGTTACTTCTTTAAAAGCTTAGTGCTTCAGTTTCTCTGACCACAAAAATGGGGATGACGCTACTGGCCACTGGGAAATATTCCAGTTCAGCTATTCCCTTAGAGTAAATCAGGCAGTTCTGGAAACCAGTGACACTGGTGCTTACCATATTTGGTGTCATCAAGGACATAGTGAAGGCCACAGCAACTGGCTTCTTATGTTGTCCGAAGCAATCTGGACAAAATGTGAGAATCTGTGTAGGGGCAGAAATAATAACCCTCTAGGATTTGGAGCATTGTTTTCAAATGAATTTCAGTTGTTTGGTTTACTCTATAATTTTTTTAATCAATAAACAAAGTTCTGAGCAATTCCATTTAGCTAGAGTCTTCTTGAAGAGTTAATCTAAGCCACTTGGTTGATTATACAACTAACATACTTGCTCTTCCATAAGCTTATCTCTGATTATAGTAATTTCATTGATTAATTTCTTGTTTGGGCTCTTGAAAGCATTAGCAGATTCTATAGACATTATGCTATGTTCTTTAAAAG